TTCTCCTTTTCATCTTAAACCAAATTATAAACAGCAGGAAACCACCTCAGTTACAGCACGAATCCTGGCGAAATATACCCGTCCATTCTACCGTCATTGGTATTACCAGTTCCTAAAACGTTAAGGATCAGGCATCACTCCTCCATCTTCTAGCATGAACAATGGTCAAACGTGCATCACAATTTATTTTTCATTCATATGAAATAAATTCAAACAAGCCTTTTTTGGAAAACTGTGTACTTCTCACCTGAGGAATTTTTTCATTAAGGGAAGCGAACACTGCATCGTTACGTGTGTCTCGACTGAAAGCAAATCGTTCGTCCTAAAATGAACACAGAGAAAACAAAATTCACCGTAATAAGTTGGCGAAGCCCAATTGAGAAAAGAAGAGTTTATAAAGGATACTATGAATCTATTATCAATTAATAAAAGTAATTTTCTAACAACACAGACCGTGCACGCTAAATTGCTAACAACTTACCTTGAACTCAACGAAAGGTCTTCCCCTCAGAAACCTGTCAATAAGCTGTCTTTCCAATGCTGCCCAATCGTAATGAACTAGAGTTTCCTGTCCCACCTCTAGAGAGTAGTTACAGTGTGCCAGGATAAGAGGCAGCAGGTCTTTCTCAGGATCATAAGCTATCAGATGTGACATGGTCACCGACATAGAGGAAACGCGATCAAGAGCACTGCAAACGAGATAACGTTTTCAAATGAAGAGAAGGAAATGAGGAATATATGAAACATCGATCGAACGGTAATACGGTTAAGCATAAGAACCAAAGGCCGTCTGTAGTAATCGGATGTTATTGACATTGAGAACTTTTCCTGTTATCGATTTTATTATTCTGCTAAATTCCACAGCTTATTTGTAGTGGCGATTATTGTGACTGGTAAGAAATTACTTTTAAGGGCAAAAATATTCCAAGGAGAGGAAATCGTTCAGAAAAATTTTAAATACTATTTTTACGTAAGTTAACTTGATAACGAGTTCTCGATGAGATGTTGATCGATTAATATCGCGGGGTGTTTTCTGTCACACTCATAAGGTGTAGATATGATTGGTTAGCAAGAACAAACCTGATTCGAGTCAGATATATTAATCTTTGAAATCTAGCTGTCGAGTTGATCATATCATTCCCATGTCACTACTCAAAGATTTATCTGTATCGATGGAAACATAAACATAACATCGCATTGGGATTGAAATGACAAATAGCTTACCATTCTTGGTTAGTTGCATTACGATATGCTCCCAGAAACTCGTTATGCGTATTGACTAAGAAGAAGGTGAGCGAAGTCGAACACACTCCCATCCCTGCGGTGCCAGGGAGCAACATGGCGATTGGACAGTCGTTGTCCATGGTGGTATTACAAAGATCTTGCGGTACACGAAGACGACCTCGAAGAACAATGTGAAATTACACACGAGGTAAGAACAACTAAACCATAGAGTCACTGAGTTCCGAGTTATAAGTTACGAGTTTGCCCTAAATTAAAACAGAACAGGGCTATAAAAGATTATTGTTTGGAAAGTTAGAGAGTTTGTCATATCTTGCTCAGGATTAATATATCAAACATGAAAGCCCATTTTCGACTACATTTCAAAACACCGAGAGAGAGTTAAAAATACGACGCGCAGCGGAGTATTTTTGACGAAGTTCGAGGTGTTCGGAAATGTGGTGAAACACTGTCTTAAGTGTTTGATATACCTTCTCAATCGAAACACAAACTAAGGAGAAAACGGGGAAATAAAAACGTAAAAATCAATGTTAATTAAGATCATAGTTAATAGAGGGGAATGGTTATGAATCCCGGCAAACATCAAACGAGCAAACAAAGATGCCAAGATTTCTGTTAGAAGGTCCGCGACCGTGCACAATCTTTTGTTTTGCACTCATACACTATGCATGAGTTACGTAATCAAAACATTTCTATTGGTTAGTTGCTCAGCCTGTAGTAAACAACTATTGTGTTTTGTGCAGGGTCAGGGCCAAAAAAAAAAGAACAAAAACATACAACAAAGAATTTTGTCGACTTTCATAACCATTCCCCTCTATTAACTATGTTAAGATCAGATGTCCAAACACCGGCCGTCACCGTACTATTATGGATTTCTTTGTTTAAACTTGATGAATTATTAGTGAGTTTGAGAAGAACGAAATTCAAAAATTTCTTGAGCTTTGCTTCATGCAACTTCGAAATAACTAATAACTAGACAACAGTATTACCTTGATCGCCAAGAAATGACCGGCAAGAATTCCACGCAGTCTTAAAACTCTGGAACAATTTAATGTAGTCTTCTCTCACAGATCCTAAAATTAAAACAGATCATATATTTCATTAAAATAACCAGTCAGTCTCTACGTCACAATCTACTCCTGGAACATAGACATTTCCCCCTGAAGTTGTCTATGACGAACTGTGGTAGTCATTTGGTCACTGGTCACTGGCCATCTGCTCACATCTGCTCACATCTGCTCACTCTCCTTGAGTGAAAGAGTCTTAACTGTTCATTTTGCACCAGAAAGATGCCAGTGGTACGTGACATGTTTTCACAGTGATTTTTTGGTTCTTAGGTCAGTTGTGTTTGTAACACATCAGAAAGTAACAGAGTAACTTGTGAGACTTGACTTGCTCACTCTCCCTGAGTGAAAGAGTCTTAACTGTTCATTTTGCACCAGAAAGATGCCAGTGGTAGGTGACATCTTTTCACAGTGATTTTTTGGTTCTTAGGTCAGTTGTGTTTGTAACACATCAGAAAGTAACAGAGTAACTTGTGAGACTTGACTTGCTCACTCTCCCTGAGTGAAAGAGTCTTAACTGTTCATTTTGCACCAGAAAGATGCCAGTGGTAGGTGACATCTTTTCACAGTGATTTTTTGGTTCTTAGGTCAGTTGTGTTTGTAACACATCAGAAAGTAACAGAGTAACTTGTGAGACTTGACTTGTTAAGTACGATCAATTTAGTTGTGAATTTGAATCGACAAGCGGAAATTGGGCAAAAAAAAGCTGTTGCATGTACCTCTTGGAAGGTCCTGAAGAAATTTCTGGATGGTGTAGCCCTCAGCATCTGTTCTGTCAATTCGTCTGTGAAATCTGTCCATCAACAAACGTTGCAGACGAACAAGGTCAGGAAGAAACTGGACGTAACGCAACTTGTGTTCCTGTAATTGTTAAAGACCAAACGGTATTTACCGATATCCTGCAAGAACGAGAAACTCCTTTCCCGCACTCAGAGGCAAACGAGTGGTAAATTGATAAATTAGATAATCATTTCATTTGGTCTTAACCGTAAGGAAAAGTTCAAGACAACAAAAACAGCAACAACATAGGTACACCTTCCCATGCACCTCTCCCTGCAGACACAACAGCTACATCCTAGGGAAAGTGTCCGAGTCAGGTTGGTGGTACCTGTTTAAGGAAAGCATTCAGCACTTTGCATTGCTCTTCTCCACTAGAAAGAACTTGCTGTTGGAATGAGTTTCCCAGATGTTCCACAGTGATTTGCCTTCTGTACTTCCAAAGGGCCTTGGACATGGGTTTTACACCCTGAGTTTGGTCTTCTATGTGCGCATCAAACTCGTACATCTGTAGCACTAATGGATCACTTCCTGTGGATCACAGATGGCAGAAAGAGGGACGAAACAAAGGAAAAGACGCTATATTGTTAATTATTCAATCAATCGAGCGAGTAATCAATCAATCAGTTAATCAATTTCACATTCACGTTCAACGAAAGTCTCTCGGTCTTCTAAAAACTTTATCACAACTGTAAAATTAGCTTCAGGTTACAAAATGTATATTTAAAACTTGTAACTTTTTTATCCAAAAAATGAATAAATTACAAAGACGTTGTAACTACAGTTAACAAGATGGAGTACCGTACCAAATCTCTCGTCTCCAGTCAACAGCCTCAAAGCCCTCTTTAGATTCTCGTCAAGATCCTAACATGAATTGTATAGAATATAAAAGGCATTAGAAATGATTACTGGTAACTAATGAATAAAGCAAAACAAATGACAAAGTCTCATTACATACCCTGACAACAGGAGCGACAATCTCACCACAGAAATCTGTTTCCCAGTTCATTCGACTCTCTCGGCTTAGAAGAAGCATGTCAGGTGTGTTTGCTGAAGAGGGAAAAAAAGGAATTCATGATTTAACATGTATCAAGATAAAATGCATTAATTAACTCTGACAGAGCGAGCGTTTAACGATGTAAAACTTTTGTCGGGGCGGTATAAAACAACATAAACTTTGGAATTTTTTCACGCCTGTGTAGCAACCTTAGTATATCTCTGTCATTCCAAAATATATCTCATGCAGGTTTCTCATTGTCAGTGTAAGCAACTGCATTTGGGCCAGCTCAGTAAAGCTACCTTGTTTAAGATTGGTGTCAGTTGTGACATACGAGAAACGATAGCGTTCCACATGTTCCTCAATATTGCTGAAATATGTTCATACCACTGTGAAAAGATATGAACTGAAGAATACAAGTTTGTACCTCTTCGTCCTCCATTCGCTGCAGTACAACGTGAAATCATTCGCCCTAGTACAATGTGAACTGTCAGTGCTGCGTCATAATCACTACGTCCCAGTGCAGTGCCAAGGACTTTCAGGTCGTGTTGCAAATGTTTCCATAAAAACTGTGCAACTGACTGTGATTGGCATGGAGGAGTGATAATCTGTGCAGTCGCCTGTAAAGAGATGTGATAGACGTTCTGTGGTGTTATTAAATAGTTTTACTACATAGGTAACGAATTCAGCCGTTATTTTGTAGTCCTTGATATTCACCTCTGAAAATTATACTAAAACAATTATTCGCCTCAGGCTCAGTGAACATTGGTGAATATTCACCAAGACGAAGTCGAGGTGAATATTCACCAATGTTCACTGAGCCTGGGGCAAATAATTGTTTTAGTATAATTTTCAGAGGTGACTATCAAGGACTACAAAATAACGGTCTAACACATAGACACAGACGCAATTGTTCGTGTGCATACACGTATGCAGCCGTAGTTTTAACAGTTTTAATAATAAGCTTACATGTGCATCGCTTGTCAATCAATTTACTTGTCGAGTTCGGCCGTAAAACAAACGAGCGAAACACCTTGAAAAATTTGTCGTTGTTGACTTCATTCACAGTTGTCATCAGCCCCTAAAAATGAGTAGCTTTAGTTTGAAGAAAAACAAATGTCGGTCAATCGATCTGACCTGCTTGCGATCGACGCAACCACTGCGTTTACGAAAAGCCCTGAATACGAGCCCTTGAAAAGAGTTTCAGTCAAAAGGCGACAGTAGTGATTTTGAAAATTCTCCATCCTTTCAAATATCCTGGACTTGGAGTGATGTCTTTCGAATAAATGAAAACTTGATTCAGCAACTGTCTGCCATGTTTACTTGCCGAGATGGCAAAGGTGTCGAGCTTAGTAACCAAGCTCCAGCGGGATGAATATAGCGTCATATGATGAGCTTTTCGACCAATCAGAATGTCCAATTTTTATATTCACTTCTGGAAATTATACTAAAGCATATTATGGCTAAAGCTAGTTTACAACATAGACTTAATTGTCGTTGATAATGGTCAGTCAAGTGCTTCGAGGTGATTTATAAAAAAAATGACTAAAGTAATATACAACTATGCTACGAACCCTCCAGATCTTTTATGATTTCAGCTTGTATGTTAGTATTAAAATCGTCATTCAACATGAGAAGAACAAAACTCAAACTTCTATTAAGCAAAGGTGCTAATAACGCATTGATCAATCAGAACATAAGAAGAACAAAACTTGAAAAGTGTATACATTTTACTTCTGGTAGGCAAAGATGTCAATTACGCATTGATCAACCACAACATGAGAAGAAAAAATTTAACAAGCGTATATATTCTACTTCTGGTAAGCATAGATATCAATTACACATCGACTAATCTCACAATGAGAGAAACAAAATTCAAACTTATAGTAAGCAAAGATGTTAATTGTTCATCCATCAGTCAATTAGTTTTGATTATTCATCACAATTAGTCATTGCGCTGCATTATTATAGCCAAATATTATTTATATACTGCCTCAAGAAAAGAAGGAGAGTTTTATTTCGATGCTTTCTTAGCGATGTTGACAAACAAAATTAAAATTGAGAAACATAAATCTAAGTCACAAATTAATATGTGAGAAAGCCTCCTATTGTAGTTAACCCCTCAGTTACATGAACGATATTAACAAATTGTAATGTNTTGTCCAGGGAGCCACTTGAGATGGCTCTTCCAGAGCACGATGATCCCACTAAGCTTGCAAACGAATTTGGCACCTTTTTCCTCAAAAAAATTGAAACCATAAAGGAAAATCTTGACAAGTTTCAAGTTCAAGTGCCTCGACTTGTTCCTGTCACTCCGAAGGAGAATCTGGAGAATTTTTCTTCGTTATCAATAGGAGAAGTGTGTAAGATTGTTCGAGAATCCTCTAATGCCTCTTATCGATTGGATCCTCTTCCTACATGGCTCGTGAAGTCCTGTCTTGATGTATTAGCGCCCTCTATCACTGAGATGGTTAATCTCTCTCTTCTCAGTGGTTC